AGCTTTCCGCCGCGGTCGACTCTCCTCGAATCAGAACTCGCTTCGTCTGAAAATACGGAGGCAGCCAGTGGTCTCGTAAGGCCTAAATTTATCGTCAATCCTGGCCACCAAAACCTCTCTGAATCTTTTCCTTGGAGCAGCTATACATACAAATACAACACCGATCCACTGAGAACGGAGCATCCCTGCGGCAGTATCTTTTCCCTGCCAAGCTTCGCTCTGCTCCTACCCTCCTTATCCCTCGCGCTTGAATCACAAGGTCACGGAGTTGCCAATCACCCTATACTCGTGGACTGCATCATACATTGGCTTCTGTCATTCTCAAAGCCACTGCAACACACCCACCAACGATAAAATCAACAGCTACCTGGCCATTGCGCCGGGCCTATTAACTCTTTTTGGTTACCCAAACAGAAACCGCCATTCCCTGGACCCGGAACGACATGTAGAACGCCACGAAAGATGCTGCAGTGTGAGCTTGTAATTGAACATACGTAATACAGCAACATGCCTAGGTATGTGACTGGGACACGGGTTTTGCCCCTACCGCTCGGGACAACGGATAAGAGACTTTGCAGTACATTGAAAGGAGCAGTATACTATCACTGTTTCCTCATAGAAAGCATGTCCAATTTGACAGTGTTCCCTCGCTCCTTGAAGATGACGCAACAGTGTTGGCCGATGCTCAAGGTCTCAGTCAAAAAGGGGACTATCCACACACCTGATGATGCGGAGTCGGCCAGGATAGCATAATGCTCATCGTAGTAGTGTTTCCACCTCTTGGTTATTAAACTCTCTAGCAGGTTTCCTACTGCACAATGACCGACGAAATTCAGGCGACACTGTCTTATCCAAGGGCTAGATTGGAGGTCAATATTGACACTTGGCAAGGACGCAAGCCCCATCACGTTACAGGAATTAAAGAACACTTACTTCATAGTCCCTACATATCGAGGGATTGCATTATACCGTCGGGAGAATTCAAATGCTCATTGTCGGTTGTTCCCAACTCGTATTACCATCCTGCTGAAAAACAGTCGATCAAACAAAATACCTTGTCGTACCACAACGGTACCGCTAACTCGCCGGCTTTTTTTTATCGAAAGGCAAATGAGATTTGCCGGGGCTTATTGTCATCAAATTCAGGCGAGCCACAGTTCGATATATTTCTTCCACGTACACTTCGGCAGAAATGGGTTTGGGTACTTTTACAACAGTGTTACTCAAGTCTGGACTGTAACTACTCGGCCGCAAACGGGATAAACCTCGCCTACGCCGAGCCGTCAAATTCTGTGCTATCGTCTTCAAAAATTGCATGCGCCAGCTCTTTGCCGTCTTGCGAATCTGTTGGAAGATGACAAGGTTTGCGATACCAGTGATCTCCTTTCTCGGTCATCATGGGGTCCGGTCATAGCTACTTGTATTGCATACGGTACCTCAAAACAAACTCGACTAATATCGCCGCCGATCGGTGTCACCTGGACCAATACCCCGAAACATCGTGGCGCGATGAGAGGTGAATGAAATCCCAGATGTCGTGGCATCTGTTCCCCCATATGCCGGTGACACCCGAAGTAAAGGGGCAAGGCCCGTATGTACTGTGTTTCTGAGCAATAACTCGTCGCGTATTTCTGTCCAAGCGGGCACGATATGTGCCTCGATCCCCGTTCACAGAGTCACGTCGAGATCAAAGCTGCCCCCAAAGTTTATGAGCCAAATCATTGTTTCTCAACATATATTGTCTGATTACGCAGTCAGCAGAACAGGACGCTGGAGTGTGGATGGTAGTCCGCCAGAATTGTGGTCAGCCAGACCAAGACAGGGCCTCAATCGTGAGCATGTCTGTGTCCTGGCGGGTTTGTCATCAGCATGCTATGCAGTCTGCACTAGCCTCATAATGCATGTGTGGTGGCATATTGGAAGAGGCGGTACGGAGTACAGGGGCGCCAACAAGAAATGCATGCGTTTCACGACAGAGAGTTCTGCAAATAATATCACCATTACAACCATACATACTCCTTACGTTGGACCGGCTGTGGCGCTCTCCTGTTCTCCTGTTTTTGCCGAGACACAACAGCAGCCCTGGTATTATGCAGCAAGGGGCGCTCCATCAAAGCAGCACCACCAACGGCGGCATCAGCTATTAGTTGGCTAGTCTTTTTCTTGAGGCACCAAAGAAATGACGGCATGCATTTAGCACATGCTACACTCTGTCCCACGGCGATTAATGAGAAAAAAAGCATTGGCGGGGCTACCGATACCGTAGGGAGTACTACTACCTTTATAGTATTTGGTACCAATTTCTGGTATCCCCGGTGGGAGAAACATTGAGGCAGGTTGCTTTCAGATCCTGGAGATGCACATGATTCATGCGCGCACTTTGCTCAGCCCAGGGCATCATGTTAACTACTACCTAGGTACCTAGCTGCGGAGTACTACTGTACCAACCATCGTGTGCTTCCAATCGCGGAGTTGCTACGGAGTACCGAGACATGGATGTACGTACATCTGAGACAGAAGGGACTGGCCAGGAGCTGATCTCGCTTTCCATTTTCACGCGAGTACATTACAGAGTTGGGCGCAGAGCACCGAGTACGGAGTATTGTACTCGGGAATACGTACGTACGCAGTCACAAGTCCAAGCAGTGAGCGAAGGGCTACGTTGATACCCCCCACACCACCTTTCCAGATTCACAAGCCATCTTTGCGGTTCCAGCAATGCCGGGGCTGAGCCTCCAGGATTAGCAGTAAAAGAGAGCGCACATACTCCGTAAAGAAAAACAAAATAAGCAAGAGCCTGGGGGCAACGGGCTGGCTCGGGTGTGTGCTGGAAAGGGAAACGATGTTGGAACTCTGGAGTGTACCCCTCAGTTCTCCCTCTTGGACGCACACGCCCCCAACTTCCAAAACCTTAGGTTATTATGGCTGGGTTATTGTTGGAACAAGACGCAAAGACCGCTTTGAACTTTACCCGTTCACCGTGTCTCTGTGCGGTAGAATGTTGGTTGTAACTTGTTTTGATCAACTGCTCCCTTGACCTCACAAACAGATGGATAATTGTCATAATCTGCGGCGGCAACATTCGAGTCTGGGCCGGACCAGGCAACGCGCACACCCCTTTCTTTCCGACATGGCATCCATGATTCTGACATGGATGATTCTGACATGGGCAACCCGTTTGCTTTCCTGCACCAAGACTTCCGTTGTATGTGTTGGACATGGGATGAGCAAGCAAGATGGAGAGGTATGTACATGTATATTGATGGGGACAAGCTTTATTACACGTTGGCTCCCAGACCTTATCTTCCTCCACTGCAATATTGCATGTACATGGAGTGAAATTCCACTCGTGTTCTCCATTTGATACAATTACCTAGGTACGTACATACAATGCAAGTCACTATCACACTCCCAGACTCCATCGTTAAGGGACTGACTGTTCGTTCCCGCTAACAGAACGTGTGCAGAAGAACATGATTGGCCGAACCAGTAATGCTGTCAAGTGTTCACTTACCCCTCGAGGAGGATGCTACCGAACATTCTTTCCGCAATGGGCAATCTGGAACCAATACGGGAGTGGGAGTAGGAGTAGGAGTAGTAGGGGCTGCGAGTCGGCATTCCGCCCCCCTGTCTTGACTTTCGCATAGTGACTTTATCGGCAAGCCGTCCGAACGGGCCTCTTTACGCAGTAGTACTAATAATGCCACCGGAAATCCAAGGGTCGCAGTATCGGGCACTGGCAGCTGCAACCGCATCCGCAACGGCCCCATGTGGTTCCATGTCGTTTCTCCGTACCTGCAAATAACATTTGTACAAAAAGCTAATACGTACCTTCATTACACGACTTTCAGCCACCTTTCTGGCGTCGAGCAAAGAAAAACGTATCTGGCTGTCGCACTACCCCCTCTCATCGTCGTCAATCTCAACATGAACAATTTACAGTATTGTAGGTCCGCCGTCGACAGGGACACCCCCGAGCCCCCCCCCCTCCCTTTCCATGCACCGGCCTCCGAGTCTTCTAGCCTAGAGTTCAAAAGCCGCAAACAGTGAGCTGGGTGATGTCTTGCGACGGGTTGGCACGCTCGGGTCAGTTTTTACGTGCAATTGCCACGTTGCCACAAACAAATAAGGACGTCACTGCCAACGAGCAAGCAGAATGAGTACTAGGATCGACGCAAGTATTGACGGGGCTGCACTCGCCTGAGGCATACGGCGTGGATAGCGGGACGTCGCAACTGAGACAAATCTCCATCCATGCAAATGTTCCTTCGACTCACGCAGTTGGTAGTCTCGTGGACGCGACTAATACCGGGGCTGATGTCCCGTCCCTGGTGGAATCTAACACCTAGCCAACACCGCAACATGCAGAAGAAATATGTCGGGCTACCAGACAAAGGCCTTTAGTCGCCTGCCCATGCTGCAAGGCTTGATCCCGGGTTGAATACGGAGTACGTTGATCCCAACTTGCTGGACAGTCACGCTGCATGGGAAATAGGGTGGCAGTACCGAGCCTGCTGGCAGCACCAGAACTCTGGCGCCCCCAAGGAGCGACGGCTCATGAACCGCATTGGACAGCATCAATACCGACTGTGCTGCCCAATGCTGCGGCAAACGACTCTTTGACGGCCGCCACCGCCTATTGGGTGGGCAATGCATGTGACCACTGGTAAGAGAAGAGTCGATTGGGAGAGTAAATCCGATCCAAGGGGTGCTGAGCTTCCATGACTCGGAACGCCGTTTTCACATGCTACTGTAAAGCTTTTGTGTGTTACACGTTCTAATAAGCAAGTAGGCAACTGTTCCAGATGCCTTACTCTAGTCAGGCAAACTCCTGCTGGTCAGGTTTTTCTCTTTCGTACTGACACCCCCGAAATAGAACACAGCAGAAACAAAAGGCCATCAGAATGGACTCGTGTCTCGTCTGGTTGGCGGCGCCCTTCTTTGCCGACGAAGGTGACAAAAGGGACCGAAATCGGGTATCAAAAATTTGCGGGAACTGACTATCGTGACGAAATATCCAGTCCAAGTCCCCCGAAACCTTCCCTCTGGACTTTCAAGGTCGCTAGCCTTACGGCAAATGATGCCGCTTTGCCGATATCCGACAAGGGAAAGTCGTTGCGTATCAAGCTGAGAAGCATTCCAGCAATGAATGTATCGCCAGCGCCGACAGGACTGTAGTAAAAGGCCAAGGTGGCATACAGTTAGCCATGTTGTTACAGCCGCGCATGGCGCAAACCTAGTCTCTTCCTGCCTTCTAGAGAATCGGTCTCATCCAAGTCTCTGATGTCCAATGAGTGTTTCCGCAAAAAGCTTGCCGGGTTGGAACTCACTCTATAACGGATATTTGGCCGGACTCGCTCTCCACGGGGCAGTGAAGACAGGCTCCGGTTGCCTGAGACATGATAGTCGCCCCGTCTGCACCCCAAGTGCACAATCCGAGTGATCTGTGTAAATCAGTGGAAAGGAAGAGACCGGAAAAAAAGAGCTGCAGGGCGGGTTCTCGCCGCTAGGGGTCACTTACCCTTGATGACGGCGTTCTTTTGTGAGACATGCTTTGGCAGACGTGTGTCCTCGGCTCTAGCATTACACATTGTACGTCAGTCATGAGTAGGCGTCCCGTCTCGGTGAGAAGGAGAGATGAGAAGGGACTGAGTACAAATTTTCAAGACTGCGCGTAATAAGTGATTGGATCTTACCTCTGCCCACGTCCGGGAATAGAAGACAACATCAGCTTCTTCCGCGAGTTGTGATAATCCCTCTCTACCGGGCTTCTCAATCTCGACGCTGATATTTGCTTTGGGCAGCTTCTGTCGGAGTAGACGCATGCATGCGAGGGTAGTCTCCGGGATGCGGCCCTGTGCCCCGGACAAAAAGCAAACCAAAGTCATCAGTCACAGTTCCTCTGCCTCAGAAAAAAAAAATCCGCAGACCGGAGAAGGCTGTCGCAAGTCGTGATACCAGATGACGGCCTCCCAGCGCCATATTAGTAGCCAAAAAAAAAGCAATAGTACAGGGCTTACCTCGAAGTGCCAGAATGTTGGTTCATCCCCATCGAAGCTGTCCACAACTTGGGCAAACTCATCGCACGTCATTTCCGGCAAATCGTTGTAATTCACGATGGTGCGGCTATTGCTCTGCTGGCTCCTGATAATGTAGCTGCTCGCAGCTTCCGTATACCCCTCCCTATATATACAATGCTGGAAATTGACTCTCGTGTCAGTCCCGAATGACGAGATGACTCTTCTGGTGCTAGGGGCATCCCGGCGCGGCAGACACGACACCAGGTGTAATTGCGTATCATCTTGATCTGTAACAAGCTGCTGGAGCACCTCGAGTGAGTTTGGACAGTTGCCTCCCCTGCGAATCGTGAGGTTTGTCGCGCGGAGCTTGGCATCTTCTTCCGGAAAGTGAGGCACGCTGCAGGGTAAGTAAGTCAATAAATACTATGCGGCGCGTGCAAACTGGCGCATGTGCAGCAGGGATGACTTGCCTAAGAATTGTGTCTAGGTAGCATGCTCCAACAAGGATGAGATGCTTCATTTTGCATTGTTGGTCTTGGTTGGTGTTGCAATTGGCGTGGCGTATTGTTGCTTGATCTGCGGGCAATGAGGTCGAGTCTGCGAAAACACCCGGGGGGGGGGGGGGGGGG